TATAAGTGCAGCTTCAGTAAACCTCATGGTTCCAGTCGAGAATTTTGGAATAATGTAGGTACGTTCTTGTCATTTATGACAATGTCTATTTGCCTTTATATAACATCTGCGCTTTCTATATTTGTACTAAACTGCATGTTAACACTGTACACATACACAAAATCAAACAGCTTTGTTGACTATTTATATGTATATTTATATTATATTTATGGTGTTGTATTGTGTTGTGGATGTCATACATTTATTTATGGTATTTGTATTTATGTGTAACATCATAGACGGCTCAGTGTGCTTGTACATGTGAATGAATGGATGAATATTACATTTATATAGCACTTTTCAAGACAGCCAAAGCTGTGTTGATAATAAAGAAATATTGAGTCTTGAGTCCTAATGTGCACAGTAAGTGGTGTATGAGGTAGCGCTCTATAGCATTTCTTATTGGGCTGTAGCAATGGTCTTGTGTCATTTCCTTCATAATTGGATGACATACATACTATTTGTACTTAGAGAGTTCAGTGTTTGAGCATATCTGATTCAAGGCAACTATGATTCTGCGAGTAATGTCAGTGATGCTCTGAGAGTCACCTTGACCTGTCATTACTAATGCACTACGTATCAGTCTCGTTTTTCACTTTACAGGAGATGCTGTGTATTCATAGTTTGTCCTGCATGCAGTGGGTTCCCCTATGCAACAAGGGACACCCATTTTCCTCTGCTGGCATCCACTTCTGTTCCATCACCCTGCACTCTGTGCTCTGTCAATGTTCTGTGTGCACTGCTACCATGTATAGTGATCCTCTCCCACACTGCCATACCCAAATGCCAAATATTTAGACTCCAGACTGAATCTGTTGATTTTTAATTGCAGTCACTATTCTATATAATTCACCCAGGTTATTTAATTGATTTTATGTATATTATATGTAGCTGTATATCTTACAGATTATTTGTGATCTCTGTAGAAGAAATAGGTAGTAGGAACATCAGCAGCAATAATATCCATGAAGATAAAGAGATTTACTAGCGAAATGATGTCAGAACATCAGGTGCTACAGCAATTATGCTGTTTATTATACAGCTCACGTACTATTTAGCTAGGTCCCATGCAGTTTGGCTAGTTAACAGAGTATTTAGCTAGTCCTTGTGCCATTTATTCTGGTCTCAAGGTATTTGGCTAGTTAGCAAGGTGTTTAGCTAGCCCTTGTGTTGTTTAGCCAGGTCTCATGGTACTTTTGCCATTTAACCCGGTGCCAAGCAGTTTGACTAGTTAGCAGGGTGTTTAGCTCATGTGTTGTTTAGCCAAGTCTCAAGACATTTGGCTAGTTAATCGGGTGTTTAGCTAACCTTAGTCAGATCCCCAGCAGTTTGACTTGTTAGCAGGGTATTTAGCTAGCCCTTGTGTTGTTTAGCCTGGTCTCATAGATTTTGGCAAGTTAGCATGGTGTTTAGCTAACCCTTATGTCATTTAGCCAGGTCCCGTGGTTGTTAGCTAGTTAATAAGGTGTTCAGCTCACCCTTGTGTCATTTAGTCAGGTGCAGTGCTTAATTTGTGCCAGATTCCGCTCGAAGGTGTTCCTCGACGTCTCTTGTTTTTCACTGTCTACATTCCAGCACCTATTTGCATGGATCCTACCAGTTCTCTGGTTAAAAAAACAAAAAAAATGACATAAAAAAAAAAATAAAGTATGTATTTTAATTTATAGACCAATTATCGCGCAGTTTCACATCCTTTATTAGTTTAGATGTATTCTTAAAAATACATAGCTTGTTTTCAGTATCATGTTTTGTACGCATTTTGAGACCTTCGCCCGCCTCGTTACCCCTCCGCTCTCATATGCCCTTTGCATTCCGGCACCTTCTGATTTACAAATTAAGTACTGGTCAGGTCTTATAGTTTTTGGTTACCTAGCAGGATATTTAGCTAGTCCTTGTTCTGTTTAGTCAAATATCCTGCTGTGTGACCTGTTTGCAGGGTGTTTAGGCTGTGTGGTTGAAATAGCCTTGCAGCTCTGTACTGTTTGGCAGTAGTGTCTGCTGTATGCAAGTGCATTGCCAAGCAGTTGCTCTGGTCACCAGCAGAGGGTGCTGTGGACTACAAATTTAGTGTTATTTCCCTCCCATAAGAATCATTGCAGCAAGGTTTTCTCAGCTGGTACAAACACATAGCAACACACTGTCAGGTGCCGCTGCTCCTCTGTGTTTGCTCAGACAGGTGAATTGAGCCAAGGGCCTTGGGTAACAGCTGGATAAGCTGGACGAGGAACATAGACTTTGGGGTCAGGAGGGATGGCGAGGACCATCTGGAATGAACACCGAACGCTGGCAGAGATAAGGCAGAACTTCCCGTGGCATCATATTGGCCACAGCCCATCCAGGGCTCTCTGAAACCACAGCAAGTCCACGTGGGGCATGAGTGGCACAGAAAGCTATTCTGGACAAACTGCTCCAGATTTGCCCGTAACGCTGTCTGCTTCACGCTCAGCTCCAGCTACTGACATCACTCACATTGTGACTTGTGATTTGTAAGTGCTCATGACCTTATTGAGGGCTTCTCTGGGCCCTCAGCCTCCTCGTCTCCGTCCTGCCTGCCATTCTCTTTTCTACCCTATGCACTCGTCTTGTCTCTCAGGCAGCACCAGCCGCCACCCAGGTCTGACAACACACCTTCCTGTAGTGAAATGGTGCTTTGCGTGTGTCAGCACTAGTGTTTGACTTATATCTTTGGCTTTTCAGCAAGGCTTTCAGCATGATTAGGCCCATAGTATCGTGCCCACAACGACGGTGTACTGCAGACATGAACACACCGTTCGGTCATGAGTATGGCACAGAGTACAGGAGAGAGTACAGTACCGAGTATGGCACAGGGCAGATGAGAGCATACATTACCGAATATGACACAGAAGAGAGTACAGTGCCAAGTACGGTGCAGAGTATAGTACAGAGTACTGTACTGAGTATGGCAGAGAATACAGTACAGCATAATGCACAATACAGTAAAGTACAATCCTGAGTAGAGCACTGAGTGCAGTAGATAGTATGGCACAGAGTACAGTAGAGAATACAAAACCCAGTATGGCACAAAGTACAGTAGAGAGTACAGTTCTGAGTATACATGCAGGCTGCATGGCAGTCCAGGCTCGCACCTGCGCATTACAGTGTAAATGAGGTCACTTTGACAGCAGTTTGAAAGTCACAAAAGAATGGACAGCGACAGTCTGGTTGAAGAAGCTGAGGCTTGTGCAGATGGCTTCTGAGCTAGGGAGTGCTGTTCTCATACAGCATGGCGTGCTAAAGGCAAGGATTAGATTCGCATTTACATTTACTTATTTAGTGAACACTTTTGACCAAAGCGATGTAGAAGCATCCATCTGAAATGTGACTGTGATATTTGTGTAGAGTGTTGAAAATGGTTTGCAAGACATCATGTTTATTTATTACCAAATATGTTCACAAATGTCTCATTTATAATGTGTTTGGGACCATGCAGTCGGCTATGGGGCTTCTTTGATTGACAGGCCAGCACGGCTATTTATAAATCATCCATCCATCTTCCAACCACTTATCCTGGTCAAAGTCACAGAGACTATTTATAAGTGATATAAGCCTAATATACAGGGCAACCAAGGAAACCACATCTGTGTATTTTTGTTGCATGCGGTGGAGCAGTCAAGTGACCAATAGCTGTAAGCAGAACAGTCATGTGACCATTAGCGATAAGAGAAGCAATCATGTGACCATTAACTGTAAGCGGAGCTGAATGTTCTGATCAGGTTTCATTGAGGGTTTTCTCAAAGAAAGGTCAAGGCTAGTTTGACCCAGTGTAGGTGCCGCTACCAGGAAGCAGTAGAAGGGCGGCACAGAGTACAGTAAGAGAGATTGTTAATGGGCAGCTACGCCCAGTAGGGGGCAGTGTGTATCAAGAGGGCTGCCCCTCACATGCATTATTTCTGGGCACATTAGCCATGAAAATGGTTTCACTTAAGCAACATGGATAACACACAGAGAGTTCTGGGGTTCTCCAAGGGGGATGTCACTGCTTTAGTGATGTGCTACAACCTTTAGTGTTTAATAACCCCCCCCCCCCCCCTTAGTGGGAGCATTCTTCTGCTCTCATTACTGTTATTTGTAGAATAACTTCATGGTTAAATCTACACTTTCTCATTTTAAATATAAGTAGTATTTGGTTCTGATTTTTTGAGGTCAATGAGTGATGAATTTTTAAAATAGTTCCTGCTAATAGGGGCTGGGAATTAATTTGATAGTTCCCATAATCTCGGAGGAATTTTTCAGATCTTCATCCGGCTGCCTTGATGTTCTGTGTGTGTCAGTGAGAGACATTTTCGCTCAGACTGGTAGTTTTTGCATTTTCACCTCTACTGTAAACACGTTTCCTTGTGACATTTTCGGTGCTTTGTGCATCCACATACCCACGGTCCTCTGGGCTCTCAGTGTACACTATCAGGTCATATCAGGCATTGATTAAGACGGCTGCTATTCCGAGGGGGCCGGGGTCCTGCGGGCAGCAGTAACCGCCCATTTACTGGGGGGGTCATGGTGTGGACAAGACAGACCACAGCTCACACAACAAATCTCACAGCCGGGGGGGAGTCACTGTGTGGACCACAGGCTTGTATTCGTGTCTTGACTATGTTCTACAACATGTCACACACTCCATTCCACCCCCCCCCCCACCCCGTCAGAGTGTATCGTCACGCGGTACGCCAGGGCCCTCTGCCTTCACTCTCATCTAGAGTAATTCAGTGTTGCATGCACATTGTCAGTGATTAGCTTGTTCTTTGTTGTTAATTGACCAGTGGGTGAAATAGCTTGAAAAGTGTCACTGCAGCTGAGTGTCATGTCCCTCTCCAGTGTCATCACTGAAGACGACCAGAGCGTGATGTACTTTAATGCGAGTGCCAGGACAAACAGGCCTTTGAAAGCCTGATTCAGCTCTCACTCTGCTCACTCCTTTGTCCTTCTTTTCTCCTCTCTTGCAGTATGTGGCGTTTGGGTCCCTGTTATTCATCCTCATCTCCATCTCCACCTTCTGCCTGGAAACGCATGAAGCCTTCAACACCATCTACAATAAAACAGAGAATGTGACTGTGGGGAATGTCACGCGTGAGGAGGTGGTCTTTGAGGTGGTCACCGACAGCTGGCTCACCTACGTGGAGGGCGTATGTGTCATCTGGTTCACCATCGAGGTTCTGCTGCGTGTCATCTTCTGCCCCGACAAGGCCGAGTTCTTCAAGAGCACCCTCAACATCATCGACTTCGTGGCCATCCTGCCCTTCTACCTGGAGGTGGGGCTAAGCGGCCTGTCTTCCAAAGCAGCCAAGGACGTGCTGGGCTTCCTGCGGGTGGTCCGCTTTGTGCGGATCCTGCGTATCTTCAAGCTGACCCGCCACTTTGTGGGGCTGCGAGTTCTGGGCCACACACTCCGGGCCAGTACCAATGAGTTCCTGCTGCTCATCATCTTCCTGGCGCTGGGCGTGCTCATCTTCGCCACCATGATCTACTATGCCGAGCGCATCGGTGCTGACCCTGGAGACCCCACCGCCAGTGCCCACACCAACTTCAAGAACATCCCAATTGGGTTCTGGTGGGCTGTGGTGACCATGACCACCCTGGGCTATGGGGACATGTACCCGGTCACATGGTCGGGCATGTTGGTGGGAGCCCTATGTGCCCTGGCAGGGGTGCTGACCATCGCCATGCCTGTGCCCGTCATCGTCAACAACTTTGGGATGTATTACTCGCTGGCCATGGCCAAGCAGAAGCTGCCTAAGAAGAAGAACAAGCACATCCCACGGGCACCGCAGCCTGGCTCACCGAATTACTGCAAACCCGATGCCCTGGCTATGGCCACGGCTTCGCCGCATAGGATCCTCGGCAACGTACTGAGTGGGGTGACTGGCTCTGGAAGCATGGGAGGGGACTGTCCCCTGGCCCAGGAGGAGATCATCGAGATCAACAGGGCAGGTGAGTGTGAGTATGCTGCCAGTGATTTTCTCTCCATTACTTCTGTGATATTTCATCTCTCTCCTTGCATTTGAATGCTTTTAGTTTCTAGCATGTCACTTAGATCCCACAGCTGTACCTCGTATGGTGTTTTGAAGCTCCTGGGAAACCCTGTCACTGCCGATTTTGCTCCTCCTTGCCGGGAGCAACCGATCAGTCAGCTGAGAATAATAACTAAAAGTTAGCTTCCCCTAAATTATTACAGGCCATCACTTTAATCGCTTGTACTTTTTAAGACTCCATAGACCTTGTTTTGAGCCATCCTGTAAACCTGCGCACATCTTCATGATGAAAGCAGGGGCAGAAGAAGCACAGGCTGATACCCCCCATTCCCCAGGCCCCTGACTGCACTGATCAGATTGTTTCATTTGTCTGGGTACAGCTTGCTTGATGATGACCTTCAGCTTTGGCTGATGCTTGCATTGCAAACATCTCATTGCTGCATCTTGCAGTGCACTCAGTCGCTGCAGCCTCTGATCCCTGTGCAAGTTTGTCACTTCCTGTTATGTGCTTTGTAAGCAGGAACTGTTCTGGTTATTTTTCTGGGATGGCTATGTAAAGGGCACTAGGGGTATGAGGTGGTGGGTTGTGCATGGTAGAGAATGGGTGGTATTATTCTAAAATTTCAGGGACCCATTTAATTATACTCTCTCCCTTCCACATGCTTTCTTTGAATCTGTTTGAACAGTACAGTATAATCTTTTTCAGTGATTAGGATGTTATAGCATAGTGTACATAAGGCTAATCCATCAGAAAGGGTAATGGAACAGAGAGAGATCATGCTAACCAGTCAGAAAGGGTCACGATACAGAGAGAGATCATGCTAACCATTCAGAAAGGATCATGATACAGAGAGAGATCATCTTAACCATTCAGAAATGGTCATGGTACAGCGGGAGATCATGCTGACCCATCAGAAAGGGTCAAGGAACAGAGGGAGATCATGCTAATCAGTCAGAAAGGGTCGTGGTACAGAGAGAGATTATGCTAAACAATCAGACAACGTCATGTAACAGTAACAGATCATACTAACCCATCAGAAAGGGTCACAGTACAGAGGGAGATCAGGCTGATCAGTCGAAAAGGGTCACAGTACAGAGAGAGATCATGCTAACCCATCAGAAATGGTCACGGTACAGAGGGAGATCATACTAATCAGTCAGAAAGGGTCGTGGTACAGAAGGAGATCATGCTAACCCATCAGAAAGGGTCATGGTACAGAGGGAGATTATGCTAATCAGTCAGAAAGTGTCATGGAACAGAGAGAGATCATGCTAACCCATCAGAAATGGTCACGGTACAGAGGGAGATCATACTAATCAGTCAGAAAGGGTCGTGGTACAGAAGGAGATCATGCTAACCCATCAGAAAGGGTCATGGTACAGAGGGAGATTATGCTAATCAGTCAGAAAGTGTCATGGAACAGAGAGAGATCATGCTAACCCATCAGAAAGGGTGACGGTACAGAGAGAGATTATGCTAATCAGTCAGAAAGAGTCATTATACATAGAGAAATCATGCTAACCCATCAGAAAGGGTCATGGTACAGAGGGAGATTATGCTAATCAGTCAGAAAGTGTCATGGAACAGAGAGAGATCATGCTAACCCATCAGAAAGGGTGACGGTACAGAGAGAGATTATGCTAATCAGTCAGAAAGAGTCATTATACATAGAGAAATCATGCTAACCCATCAGAAAGGGTCATGGAACGGAGAGAGAGATTATG